CTTAAGTCTGTAAACATTATTTCGCGGTCTGGCACAAACTCTGCTCATTCGGAAGAAACAAACGTAAACGATTGTCCATTTTCTAACTGGATAAAAAAATATTCAAAGACAGAGCTTAGAGAAATGCAAATGCGTATGGTACTTTGCATGAAAGAAGACAAAACTTTAGAATGTCCTAGCAAAGAAGAAATTTCTGCATATGATTCAAATACCCGCGTGTTATTTATGCATTGGGATCTGTTAAGAGTAATTGATGGTATCTTATACAAAGAGTATCTTCAGCATGACAGTATACACTTCACCCCTGAAGAATTAAGACGCCGCATTTTTCAAGATTTGCATGAAAACTGTATATCGGGGCATTTTGGTCGTGATAGGACACTAGAAATAATTAGGAGACGTTTTTATTGGCCAAATATGTCGGATTCCATACGAAGCTGGTGCGGAACTTGTGATCTTTGCGCAAAAAGTAAACCAGGACCTGGTATCGGTCGTTCTCCCTTACAACAAATTACATACACACGTAGATTTCAAGTAATTTGTATAGATCATGCTGGGCCATTCCCTGTCACTGATAATGGAAAAGAATATACTATGGTCGTAGGTGATTATTTCACTAAATGGAAAGAAGCCTTTAGTTTATCTGACATAACTGCTTTGACATTTGCTGATACTTTAGTTACAGAAGTAATATGTCTTTTTGGTTGCCCAGAACAAATTCACACCGATCAAGGGAGACAATTTACTTCAAATCTCTTTACTGAAGTTTGTAGGTTATTAGGGATAAATAAGACTAAAACTTGTCATTATCACCCGCAAAGTGATGGACTTATAGAAAGATTTAATCGTACGTTAAAACGCATGCTTTCAACCTTTTGCCATGAAAATCAGAATGATTGGGACGATTATCTCCCTTACTTACTCATCGGGTACCGCTCCTCTGGACATGCGTCAACAAAATATTCGCCAAATCTTCTTATGTTCGGCTAAGAGATAAACATGCCTATTGATATTATGTTTGGTCCAACTCCAGATACTAAAAATTTTCAATGCACAATTCAATATGTAGAATTGTTGAAAAATGCCTCGAATACTGCTTATGAAGAAGCAGCTCAAAATTTGCTAGGGTCCGATAAACGACAAAAGAAAACATATGACTCAAAATTGAAAATAAGGGAATATCAAGAGGGAGATTTTGTATGGCGCTGGTATCCTCCCACCGCTAACACTAAGTTAGGACTTGGATGGACTGGACCATTCAAAGTTATTTTAAGGAAATCAAATCTAGTGTATGGCATCCAGAAAGTTCCTAATGCCAAGCTATTATTTGTACACATTGATCATTTGAAACCCTATTGTGGGGATAAAACGCCTGAAGGTTGGGAGTTTGACCCAGATTATGAGGTTAATTCGGCGGAAGCTACTGCTTTCGAATTCCTAGACGAAAGTAATATAGTCGAACCACTAGAAAAAAGTCCTGTTATAACAAGGACTGGACGTGTTATTAAGCCTAAGAAAATATATTCACTGTAATCTTATAAATCTAGTATTGCTCAAAGTTGAGATCAGTGGTATGACATATCGAGTTTTGTTTGTTTTCCTAAAATATTGAGATATAAGTTAATCTTGATAAATTTCAATTTGAAGGAACTTTTATTTAATTATGTGATTTTATGAATAAAATGCTTGATCAGAAGGGCCTCAAAGTGTTCTCTAATCGATCAACAATATTGTTCTAAGCATCGCATAAAGTTTGTTTCAATTGTTGTTGTTGTTACAATTCATGTGTGTTGATTTTTTTTTTGTTTTATTTTATTCGATTCGAAGTTAGGTCAAATTCTGATTTAGCAGATTTGTTATCAAATATTTAAGGTATAAATTATGATAATAAGTCAGTCTATTAATACAGGAAATTACCTGATATAGGCCTACGTGATTAAATATAATCTGTTCAAATTCTGATTTGTTTTTCATTTTTATGTTGTTCTGTTTGGAATATAAAAAGAAATTTGATCAGAACATGTTAAAAAAAAAGAAGTTAATCGAGTAAAAATATTCTTCTATCATATATGGCCCCAATCATAGAAAGCCTTTTTGGCATAACTGTTGGTCAACTTTATGTTATGTATCTTTGATTGTTATTTACAGCATGGCAGAATTTCTCCAGCAAGATGTTATTGAACTAAGGGTCGGAAATGACGAAAAAATCAATGACTTCTTTCCTCCACTGGGTATGTGTTGTGAAGTTAGAGATTGCTATGTTGATACATACTTCAAGCGTTGGGAAGATTATGCCAGACACTTTATAACATACCATAAAATGGAGCAAAGAAAACATAGATGCGCAGTTTCCAAATCGTAGAAATGCTACAAGACATGTTAACACTGTTCACAAAGGAAATTCGTCTGTGGAGATTCATCTGTCACAAAATAGTGTTTATATTGATCCAAAAGGTATTTATCTTCCGGATCGTGCATCCTCAGCCAATATTGATTGGAATAAATCATTTGCAATACAACATGTAAAAGAGTGTCAACATGAAAAGTGAAAGACATACCAGGGTGTTGATACTAAAATTTTAACTTCTAAGGTAAACATAAGAGAATTCGAGGAAGAATTTATGTGTTGAACAATTCAGGATAACAGATTTATGTAATGTTCTATATTATTAAAAAATGACAAGTGTATCATTTTTTTTACAAGGAGGGAGGTGTGTAGTAGGGCAGGTTGTTTCCCTTTGTAAATAAATGTTCTGATGTTTGACATTTACTGAATTAGGTTATAAATTGTTATTTCCCTTTTCTTTTTGGTACATGAAATTGTAATTTGTTACATTTTATAAAATAGTTTGTACACAACATATCAAGTAAATTATTAACTATTAAAATTGTCAAGATAAAGAAGGTCTCAGGTATAAAACTTTAATAATTTTGTTTTTGGTAGTTATTCTTAATTTATATCTATGAAGCTAAATGTTCAAAATAATATGTTGATATATTGGTTGATTAGAAATAATAATTACTTTGGTATATTAGGTCAGATTTTTTTGGCATCATTGGTAGCAAAGGTTACAAAGCCAAGCTACCGCCCCTTCCCCTATCTAGATTTATTAGGTATTATAAAAGTAAATTATTTAGTATTTCTTCATTAAAGTAAAAATACACTATATCTATTTTCCATTACTCTGCATTGAAAGTTCTTTATATTAAATTTGGTAGTTTTTATAGAATTTAATGTCTATACCTAGATTTATTAGGTATTATAAAAGTAAATTATTTAGTATTTCTTCATTAAAGTAAAAATACACTATATCTATTTTCCATTACTCTGCATTGAAAGTTCTTTATATTAAATTTGGTAGTTGTTATAGAATATAATGTCTATACTTTGATAAATTAAAGTTTATATGTTTAAATAAAGAACATTGTCGTATAAGTATTTAATTTTGTATTAAAAATCAGAACTGGAAACTTGGTGTTTGTGTCATTTCTTGCAGCAAATATTCGGGGTAAAGGGACTAAGTGAGTCCAAGCTTTAGGCTCTATAAATCAGTAGCAAGAAAAAGGGAGAGGAACTTGCGAAGCCAGGTTGTGATAATTTTGCAACCTGTCGCCTCGGAAGTAGCCCTCTCCTGCTACAAACGGCACAACTGATTTTATCATTTCAAACGTTGTTTTCGTTTCGGCGTGCTGTACTTAAAATGTGCCGATTGTTAGCAGTCATATACAATTGGATGCCCCTAAAAGCTATTGATAACTAAATTATCTGCATAATATGATCATATTGGCTTAATCTGTACTTTTTACTTTTAGTCTATGAATAAATTGTTAAAAGTACATGTCATTTTCTATATGAAAAGCAAGAATATATATTTTCTATTGTTTTTTATTATAAATATTTTTTGTTTGTTTCAACATGGCTTTTCCTTAGTCTACAATAAGCTTTGTTATATTTATGATTTTGCATTGATAAAAACGTACGTAAATGTTTATATAATACAGTGTTTTCTTGAGAACGAAAAGCTCGAAAAATGACGATGGTGACAGTGCGGCAGTACGATGGTGATAATACGACAGTACTGTGGCGAAGCACGACAGCATGATGCTGACAATCCGTCATACTGTCGCATTGTCAACATCGTACTGCCGCACTGTCACCGTCGTATTGTCACCTAGGCATGCGCATAATTAACGTTGACCGTGTCATATAGTATCATTCTAACAATGACCTAACATACACGTACATTCTTGTATTGATGAAAGTAGTTTGAAATTGAAGTTAGGTCTTTTTAAGAAAATACTATATTTTACAAATAAGTCAAATACAAAATTTCAAAATTAAGCCTATCTGTTGATATACAAATTATGAAGACACAGGTGTACATTTTTATCATAAAACAATTTATTGGTGTAGATAGATTTTGATTCTGTTAACTTTTGATTTCCTTGATAGAGTAAAGATTTTTTTATAAAACGGCGGTATAAGTTTCGAAGGCATGTTGAGTGAAATGTTTTCTCATGCTCGGCATGAAGTCACGAAGGTGACAATACGACACTACGACGGTCGCAACTCTTACAACAGTACGATTAACGTGTATGTTAGACCAACGATGAGTCAATGTTTTCTTTCATGTCTTTATTTAATTATGCGTATGTCGTGTTTCTCCATCGTACTGCCGTATTGTTAACATCGTATTGTCGTACTGTCACCACCGTACTGTCATGTATCGCGCCGGCCGTTCTCAGAAAAAAACGCTTGATAACATGAAATAGAAAATAAATATAAAACCCTTGATTGTTGATTGTGTTTATTACGTAAATATTGTCATCTTTAATATTTTAAGCCTTATTTTTTACCAGTTTAGGCGTACCGCTAATGCACTTTTTTCGTGCATTTAAATCTGCAGAATCCTTCTGACTTATTAAAACAGTCGGACTTTAACTAAGCTCGCGTGGTTCTTCAGATGTTTATGCACGAAAAGAAGTGATTTTGTACGTACCTGCTGGAGAAATTAAACCGTTTCCATCTTTATCAAATATTTTAAATGCTTCTTTAATTTCTTCCTCTGTATCAGTTTCTTTCATTTTTCTTGACATCATTTGTAAAAATTCATCAAAGTCTATAGTTCCATTTCCTGAAATAAAACGATAATTTCAACTGAGAAGATGGCAATGTTTATACTGTTTAATTCATATTCTTTAATAGTTACTATCTGCTTAAACGATGCTAAAAGGCGTGACCGGTGGCATGTATTAGCAATTGCCGTTTATGAACATGTCAAATGAAACCGAGCCTGTAACATTTACCATTCGGCCACGTTGGACGGTTTTCAAGCTTTCTTTTTACATTATTGTATTGCAAAGTTATTCTTCAAAATATAGTTCAAAGAAGTACCGGGCTGATTTTGTTACAACATTCCAGTGTTTATACAATAGGAAAAAAATCCTTTAAAAAAGCTCAAAACAGCAAACTTTAAAAACGTTATAGGCTCTATTTGATTTTGAGCCTGTTCATGAACGGTATTAGAAACTGTAATATATCGTCCACCCCCACTAGCACCGATTAAGGAAGAATTCAACAATTAAACATGAAAATGGTGAAATTTTGAATTTAGAAACATCTGCAGATATGTTTACGGCGATCATCATGGAACCTTCAATGTGACACATTTGTGTTTAATCATGAAAATACAGCGTATGGTTTCCAAGTAAAAAATGCGTGTGTCCTTAATGAGAAAACAATGGGCGGAACTAAATGAAACGGAAAACCTGTTCTAGAACAAGTACCAATTACATTGTACGAACATTGGAATCACTTTAAAATATTTATAAATCAGTTTAGTCTATTTTAACACTAAACTGTTTGCAGCATCTGGCTACCATTACATTCCAAGATCAGTCGGTACAAGCTTGCTGCCTGGTCATGATCATAATTTGCACTTTTCGTTGTTTCAGAGAGTCATATTTTAAATTTTAGCTAAAACGATGAATGGTTTTGTCTAGATTGAAAGATGGACAAGTCTATTTAAGTTATTTCGCTTAGTGCGGGTTTATGTAATATCACTTACCATCAACGTCTACTTCTCGAACCATGTCTTCTAGCTCTTCATCAGACGGGTTCTGTCCCAGTGATCTCATTACTGTACCAAGTTCCTTCGTTGATATATCCCCATCTCCATCCTTGTCAAACAAACCAAAAGCTTCCTTTAACTCTGCAGACATAACATTATGCATATAATAAAATAAATTTTTTAAAAATTTTAATTTTTATTTTAAAATAAGGTTTTGGGGAAAATATGGGTAAAATGGTAATTTCCCGGGGAAAAGGGTTTTTGGGACCTTATAAACCTTTTTTTCTGCTAAAAGTCTTAATTATCCCTTTCAACGCCTGTTTATTTGTAAAGTTTCAGGGAAATTTAAAAAAAAATTTCATATTTAAAAATGTAGTATAGGTTGTTTAAGATAATGGCGAATTTTTTTTTTACCCTTTTTAAACTTGTTTTTTCAAAAAAAATTTTTGAAAAGTTAAATAAAACTTCAATCATCACAAATTTGGAAAAAACCTGAAATATTTTGTCTCGTTTTTAAATTATCACTATTAGCAAATTTTTTTTTGAGAAAAATGTTTATGAAAAATTGGAAAAAAACTTTATTTTTTAAAGTTCCCAAGCTAAATTTCATTTTTATAAAATTCCATTTTAAAAAAAACACAACCTACCTGCTATTTGTTCTTCGGTAAGTTGCTCGGGTTCAACCTGTAGAATATTAGCAAATGTATCCATGTCTTATATATACACCATATATACACCCGTCTTATACATTACAACAGAGAAAAAATGTAAATATATATAATTATGTCAATAAAATTAACTGTCCATTTCATTTTTAATTTGTAGAAAATATTCAATAGGGACTACAATATTATTTTAAAGGATTCAGTTTATATTGTCCACTATAGATAATCAATTCAAACATGACCTGTGTCTTGTATATATCTTTTGTACAATAATTAAATGATATCATATCTTAAAAGATATCTGATTGATTCGAGAGTAATCCATCTTGGCATGTAGATCAAATCTAAATGTGGGTTATTGTTATAAAGTTCTTAAAAAATGTGATTGATTGATTGATTGATTGATTAATTGATTGATTGATTGATTGATTGATTGATTGATTGATTGATTAAAAGCTGATTTCAACAATTCATTTATCAAACTTTCGGTCATTGATCCAAAGATGGATGATGTATACCTAACATACTCTGAGTAAATGCAATGAGAACTGAATTGAAAATATTTTAACCGCATCTTTTGTTTGTTTCATAAAAATGAATGTCTGATCATAAGAAATCTACAGATAAAAGTTAATGTACTATCTGTTAATTCTTTTAACAATTTTGAAAATATGAAGAAAAAAATACATTGTAGTGAAACTAAAATACCAGCAGCGTATCAGTTGGAATAAAGTCAACGTATATACTCACTCTGTCATTTCTTCCAACTTGATCTTCTGGTTTAATCGTAGCTGGATATTTTGAATTTCGCCTGCTGCTCTGTAAATGGACGGACAAAATTCTAATTTCATTTTATTATAATTTGACGATGATTTTAGCATGATTATACATGTAATATACAAAATTATTTAATTTTACCCATGAAATATGGTGCTATATCAGTCAAATATATTTCATATTTTTTAAAAATAAATATGAAATATAAATATGAAAGTGGGTGGAGACAAAACTCATATTTATTTTCAGGGACTTTTTTCGCCGTTTTGTTTGAAAAATCTGATGAATACAAAACAACTTTTTCTTGAATATTGTTTTGAAAACTATCTAGCATGATAGAAAATGGTCTAACTAAGAAAATTAATCCGAACACCAATATCTTTAATTTAGTAATTAACGCTGTACAGACGTTTAAAGAGTTGTTTACATGACGTCACAATGTAGCGCCAAACAGCGCGTGCTTACGCATAAATTACTGCGCTCTGTACAATTGCAGTTGGTAGCAAGCAAGGGGATTCGTTAGCATTTTCTTTGATAATGAAATTAAATAAAAAGGTTATTTTTTTGTTTTTCGTGAAATATGGTATTTATTACATGCTCTTCGGTGGTTTATAGAAATATATCAGTGATATAAAACTGGTAATTTCACTGTTTGAAACAGTGAAATTACCACTTTGATAATTTCACTGTTTTGAATTTAAGCCCCTTACGTTGTTTCAGTGAAATACCAGCGTGCACAGTACTGGGTACCAACTTAATGACGTGACGTCGTAAATGACGTCACGTTCTGTTATTATTTGGCGCGCTTTTCATTCAGTATTAGGTTTAATGTCTTTTTAAAACGTTTCTTTGCATGTAATAAAAAGAAAATTTGTTTAGTTTAGTGTAAGATCGAAATATATTTCACCTTGTGAACACCAAAAGTTCATATTTCACTCGTGGCTGCGCCACTCGTGAAATATACCTTTTGGTGCCCACTCGGTGAAATATATTCCGATCTTACACTGAACTAAACAAATATCCTCTATATATTTTAACTCAACATGATAAAATGCCACATATTTTCACTCGCCGTACCGGCTCGTGAAAATATGTGGCATTTTATCATGTTTCGTGAAAATATATTCCATATTTCACGCAAACGAAAAAATATCCTCTTAGTATTTAAAAGCGTTCGAAGATTTTGCGCTGACCATATCCAATGGTACAGTTTGAACAGTTCAGTCTTGTTTAATTCAACAAATCGGCATGATGCATGACAATCTAACAATTATCTAGATGCCATTTCTGAATATACAGTTGTAATAAAAAATGGTTTTCAATGTAATATAAATATTCAACTATATCTTATTTACAAACATTATAAATCTGTTCATTTCGATGCATTCATTAATTTTTTTATAATGTATATGTAAATGGCCTAGATTAATTGAAACGTTCTGAATAAGTATTGTAGCACATAATCAGTTATAAATGATCAATTGAAAAAAAAAAAAAGAGGCAAACAATCCCATCTACGATTTATAGACATAGTGAAAGGCCTGCTTCATTTAAAAGCATTAAGAGCACTTGTATGTATGGAAATATAAGAGCTTTTTGCAAGTAAATGTCATATTCTGTATCCTTTTTTATAACTGTTTATAAAAGTTAAAATAAGGATATTTGCCGACAGGGAAATAAATGTAAATGAATAGAAATAATTATATAGACTAAAAGAGCTGTCACAAAAAATACAATATTGTAAATTGGCAAACAACCCAGATAATAGCATTGCTCATAACATAACTTACTTCCAGTCTATCGAATACTAAACCATTTAAAATAGCATTTAGCTTTAAGACATATGTAACAAAATCATATGAGCCGCGTCACGACAAAACCAACGTAATGCGTTTGCGACCAGCATGGATCCAGATCAGCCTGCGCATCCGCGCACTCTGATCTGGATCCATGCTATTCGCATACAAACCCTATAACAAGTAGAGAAACTGAGAGCGAACAGCATGGATCCTTATCAGACTGTGCGGATGCACAGGCAGGTCTGGATCCATGCTGGTCGCAAACCCACTATGTTGGTTTTGTCGTGACGCGGCTCATATATAGACATATCTATATTTAAAGATAACATGGGTGGTAAAACCTCTCCTGTTTCACATACAAGACTCTTGTCAAGAAATAAGGAAAACTGATTAACGATACAAATGAAAGCCCTTGCAAAACCTTGAAATGAACAGAGTTGAATTGAACTGGCGGAATTGTTCGACAGTATTATGGCAAATAATACAGCGTTCAGCAACGAATGAATTCCAAATTCACCCAAAGATCATTTGTCAAACAATCAGCATTCATAGAACAAGGCAAATACAGGAGATTTATTTATATGCGATTAAAAAAAAAACATAAAAAGTTACAGAGGGAGTTATAAGAATATACAGAAAGCAGGATTTTTTTATATATTTAAATATAAAAAAAACATGCCACACGTTCATAGAAATGTTGTGTTGTAATAATTTATTGCAAACATTTCGGCTAGACGCCTTCGTAATAACGTAACAATTTTTAATTTACAAAAGTCGTCTTTTGTTCTTTAAAATTAAAGTGAAAAGGTAAAATTAGTGAGAGATTAATCGACAAATCAATCTATGACAATACAAATTTTCCTCCTTACTTATTATGACATGACCTAATACAAGTTCTGTTCCTTGTATTGGTTACTCCGGGACCATTGATTCCAGTAGATTTAATATACTGGTTACCACTATTCGTTGCCTCCGTCGAACTTAAGCTTAATGTTTTCATTCCAACGCTCTCAAAAGTTCTTCCATTTTCAGACTTTCAGTACGCTCGTATATATCTAATCGTGGCGTAAATATCGTATAAAGTCAGATTAACTTTGTAGATTAATTGATCATTTACTGTTGTATCTGACTAAAATAACATTTTACTGTTCAAGTAGATATTTCAGTTTACTATTTTAAGGATATTATCTAAATAAATACATCAATAACGTACAGATTTACACGACAAGCGCTAAGCCTTTTTGTTGTCAAAAACGTTATTGAAAAGAAAAAGAATGACACAAAAGAATATTTTATAGATATAGTCGCGGATGAAAAGGAAGTGCTGCTGAACAATCACTTTGAAATAAAAATCATTCAATCAATCATCGGAATAAATTCACGAAGTTAACAAACAAAGTATTGATAGTTTCACTATACATTGTTTTATAGTGTAAAAAAAGCTTAGTATTGTCAGCACTGATATAAATAGAAACATATTCTTTGCATTTTCGAAGCGCTTATATTTCTAAATTGGCACGGGGTTTACAATTGATCGTTAAAAATGTTACTAATCATTCAGCTACAACTAAAAAAATTTTTCAGCTAAAAGACTAAAAGTTTCCCGAATGAGAATGAACAAAAGGTGATATTAATATGTTGTGTGCAGCCAACATCTAAATGGAAGAGAGTTATCAATAATTCAAATGTCATTGAAAATCAAACAATGCTGCAATTAAGGGAATTTCGTAAAAGTCACAATATATTGAATTTACCGGTATCTGCCATTGTTCTTACAATTCAGTTTATTTCCTTTTTGTAAATAGTTAGCTAACAGAATTACTAATGTAATAGAGCTTACAATATTGAAGTGATTGATTATATCTTAAAAAAGCGATATTGAACAATTATAACAATTATTACTGATGGTAATAACTAATTGAATTTTAAAATGATACAGCAATATCCGAATGTTTTGTGTTTTTATGCCCCACAGACAATAAAAAAAATCATTGACAAATCTTATGAATAGCAAATATGCCAATTATAGTAGAATATGGTGATGATACAAATAGGAGCTTAATTCAGTACAATGTAACAACCCTGTAACAGCAATGTAACAACACTGTAACAGCCATGCAAGATGATTCCCTTTTTAAAATTTGCAGATAGGACGTTTCAAAATATGTTGATAAAACCGGGTTGATATTTAGCAAGCAGTGACTGCTTTAAGATGTTTTTGTTTTGTTTTTTTCACATAACGAAAAGTTTTTTGGCCAAAAAAAAATTATGTTGACAACATTAAATCCAACAGTGTAATAAAAGTAACATATATAAAAATAATATTCGTGTGTAAAACCTTCATCCATTTAGCAAGATAACAAAGTGTTCGTATATTCATAAAACAAATGGAACTTCATCACATGAAAGTACTATGTGTAAACCAGAGAACCATACGTGAAAACAGAGAACGATATGTAAAACAAATCACGATATGTAAAACAAATAACGATATGTAAAAAACAAATAACGATATGTAAAACAAATAACGATATGTAAAACACAAATAACGATATGTAAAACAAATAACGATATGTAAAACACAAATAACGATATGTGAAACACAAATAACGATATGTGAAACAAATAACGATATGTGAAACAAATAACGATATGTGAAACACAAATAACGATATGTAAAACACAAATAACGATATGTGAAGCTAAGAGACTGTATTTGTAACCTACAATACCTCATTATACAATGACTAGATTTTAGAAATTAATAGAACCAATAATTTATTTATGACGGCTCTATTCTTACACGAGTGAAACAAAACGTTCATTCGATGATTTAGAAAACCAACGGGAATGTAAAACTGTTTAATTCTTTTAAAAAAAACTCACCATTTTTACGTCCTCTATAAGATAAAAATCCTTTTCCTAACAAAATATTTACATTAAGAAATCAATGTTATATATTTTTATGACATTATCATTCTTTGTAATTGGTTATAGCATGATTTGTAACAGATGAATAGAATTAAATGTTAACTTAAACGCAATAATATCTATCAGTTCACAACGGTGATCTCAATGTACGGGTATAATGACAAAAGAAGCCCATATTTTCAATGTTACGGAATACACCTACTTCTACCGTTATTTGTATGTTTATAGATTTAACTTGAAACTATTAAATAAATATCTTAACCTTTACGCAAACATGATTTTGGGCACAACAGATTATGGTTTTAAAGTAGAAAAAATACGGTACGTCTTTTTTAATATTTGATCCCGGAATGTCAATTTATTAGGATACTAATTAAAACAAATATCATTATTTTACTTATGAAAGAATGTCTCTTTATTTTCTGTTAATTTGATATACTCTGTGTCGTCTGCTGTCAATAGATCATTTAAAAAATATTGTAAATTTGTTGAAATAATCACGCGAAAGGCCAGTACATCTTTGTATTGGGGTAAATGGATCGATTTTATACTTGTCAAAACTTTAATTAACTGTACTTTTTTTCATCTGCAATTTTATTGTATTGTTATTGCCAAATTAGTAATATAAGAGGTGGGTCTATAATTGGAATCTTGATTTCTTATGAATGTTATGTTTTAAAGACGGTTATCCATAAAGGGCAATAAACAAACTATTAAATTAGTCATAGAAAAATAAAAATGCGTTACCAGTAAATATCAAAGTGCTCCCATATACGTTAAAATCAAGTCTTTTTTTGGTACGATACTTTATCTTTATGTGTAACATCTTTAGATAAAGATATTTTTATTATGAATGTCTAATAAGACAAAGTGAAGTCATTTTCGCAAAAAAAGACGATGAAGTATTGTTGATGTCATGATATAAGGTTATTGTTTAACAATATTGACATAAAACATTTCAGAGATAAACATAAATAGTATGTATAGTATAGAAGATGAAAATGATAAAAATATACTTAAATGTGTCAGATTTCTTAGTATAAACTACAACGTTCACAAATTTACAAATGTGCAGGTTCGAATTCTCGATAGCGATTTTTTCTCTCTCCTATTTTTGACTCCTTGTTATCGTTACCACATTTTGCAAACACTTATCTGAAATAAACTCTTTATATTGCCAGTTAGCTTTATTTTTTATATTTATTTATATTTTGAACTCAATACTTTGAAGAAAAAAAGCAATTGGAATCTTCACAGTTGTCGGGTAAGTAAAGTGGAATATTTTTTTATCAACCGTTATCGTTTTTATTTTTTCAAGATATTGTTAAGCGTCACTCAGTAAATCAGGTTATAATACCTCTCATTTATTTATAAGGCTTTATCCTTATTATATTCCTTTGCCTTTCATTTTTTTTATTTTATTCGCAGCTTATCTAATTGAAAGTTTATTTACACATGAGCTTAGTGTACGTGTGATGTTGACCTCCCCTTAAAATATCTTTAGAATTTAATTGACCGTTAAAAATCTTTATTTTCTGTAAGTACATAAGTAAATTTTTAGGTCTAGCTTACTGTTACATTGTTGTCAACCAAGTGTGGTTTGTTTTTCTTATTTTTCTTTTGGTTTATTCACTATTATATTTCGGTTGCCCATATCTGCTACGTCTTTTGAGAGTTAGTTTGTTATATTTTTGACACAGTGCATAGATACAGCAGTTGCATCCGTTAAGGCCTCAACAGACGGTAGGATTTTGAAGTACAACACCAATTAAAACTAAGATGTTCAAGCAAATCTTAATGTGTGAAGGCTACTATTTTTTGAATTCGTAAACTTTAAGTCTAAATGTAAGGGATAGGACATGTTCTATTTTGAAAATCTTGTCGTACAGATTTCTACAGACCTCCCACAATGACAAGTAACAGATTACCAAATTATCTCCTGATAATGGGTGTAATGAATAAAAATCCAGAACAATTAGGGCTAAAAGGTAAACATAGTAGAAAGATAGGGTAAAATGATATTGAAAAACTCTTCAGGAGACCCAAAGTTGTGGTATGTTCGAATCCCAAATTGTTCCGAAAATGATTATGTCACGGTATTGAACTGTTCTCTTATCAGGGAAGGTAGTTTGTAGGCGACCGGATAGCTAAGTCAGTAGAACCGCAGTACGGTATTCCGAGGGTCCCAGGTTTAAGTCTCGGTCAGGCTGCACATTAATAAAAATAATTTAACAATTCAAAAAAAATGGAGGTGTTTCAATCATTACTCATAGAGAAAAAAAAATAGTGAGTAAAGTATGTAAGGGATCAATTGGGAGGGAACTTTTTTTTTCAGGAAAACCTGAGATGATTCTTACAATGCAGAATTGCGATCTGAATGCAAGTGTTGTATTGCTTTGAAAATTGTACATCTTATCTCTAATTAGTGTTGTACAACTAAATCCTACCGTCTGTTGAGTACAGAGGCAACTTTAATTCTTTTACTTGATTATATCAAGTATCGGTACATGCGATCTCGGTTTTAAATATCTTACTGCATTAATATTGTTATTGATGGAGCAAGGGATCAGCGTGTCCAGGACAACAGATCCGCTCCAAACCGCTGTTTTACTAGTAGTGAATAAAATACCGTTGTTTTTAAATTTAGTTTCAGAATAGATTTATACTAAATTTATATAGTTTAGAAAATATCTACCATGCTTCTGAAACGCCCAAAATTTAGATCCTTATACTAAATGTTTACAATGTTTTAGATCACTAGATATATAGTAGTATTTACAGCAGATTATCAATCAATAAGGGAGGTAACACTGTCGAACAATAATTAACGTTCAATATTGGTTTTCTGTCGTTTACAATCTTTTCTTTTATATCGTCCTTGAGCATTCTTATCAAACTAGAAATCTGTATTTTATTAAATTCTATGTAAATAACAAACGTGCCATTAACTTCAATTAACGCTTACATTACAAGGGTCGCAAGTGTCGTCTGATTTATTGTCTGGGTTGTATTATTTAACCGTCCACTGTTCCGTCAGTACAGGTACATTTGACTAAGATCATTTTAGATAATTGAAAACATTAATCAATTTGTGTGTTCTTAAAACAATAAGTAACTGGCACATGTGAGAATATATTCGCACGTTACTCCTGGGGAATATCCAAGTTTTATTTGATAAACATTTAAATGAGCTGTGTCACGACAAAACCAACTAAATGGGTTTGCGACCAGCATGAAGCCAGACCAGCCTGAGCATCCGCTCAGGATCCATGCTGTTCGCTTACCAACTCTAATACAAGTAGAGAAACTGATAGCGAACAGCATGGATTCTGATCAGACTGCGCGGATGCGCAGGCTGGTCTGGATCCATGCTGGTCGCAAACCCATTCTGTTGGTTTTGCCATGACGCGGATCATTTAAATCTCCTTTGTTGGGTCATTCTGTGAGAGCTGTTTGTTTTAGAAACATGTGTTACATGAACTAACGGACACGGATGGTAATAAAATAAAGATATAGAATTTGCTAGTCGTGCATTTTGTATGTCAAAAAGAAAAGACTGACTGTCTTCTTCTAAACATTTAGAAGACTTTTAATTGTACATAGACAGATGTCTTTTAATTTCAGGTTTAACTAACAATTTAACCAATACAAACAAAATTATTACAGCAAATGAAATAGGTCAATATATAACTATATTAGAACACCTTGGTTAGTGTTTAGATATTTGATATGTTTAATATATTTCCTCACCTTTCAGCGGCAAACAATCGATCTGTCGTCACAAATTGTCCCGATTCGAATTTGATCAAATATGCAGTGCCAAATGCCTTGGTTGCCAGATGAGAAACTAATTCTGCGAGGAGGTGTTTTTGGTGGTGGATGTCTATTGTTTGTTTGCATTTGATTCCAGAGCGGGAAGAATGAAGATAAAACCTTTCAAAGAATCCTAGCACTTTGTTTTAACGAACAATAATATATAAGATTTAAAATAGATATAACTGATTATATGAAATTGTATATATTATTATATTATATTCAGATCAGTATTATCCAAGATGACCGAATTTATCGCAAGTCGCATATGTCGTTTGCCTCATTGACTCTACTTTTTATGTAAAAGACAGCTTAATTTGTAATATACTTGAAAATAGTTTGCTATATGCATGTATCACATGCTCAAATATAATCTGACACATTAAAAATACGCATTTTATACAATGTGATCCGGAATGACATTGATGACGTAACGGCATGTTGAATATATAGTTTATTTCAAGTGATTACATAATAAAATATTCATTGTAAAAGTATACGGATTTGTATTTGACTCTCATGGAAACATCACTAAGTGCTCCCGTGCCTCGTGAAGTCCATTCGATACAAATGCAAGTTTCAAATCAAGATACTCTAACAAATTCCTATTAGATCAATAGCTAAACGTTCCTGATAAAAGAAACGTTAGTTCGTCTGTATATAAATATAAAGAGTATTGTTTAATTGACGGACTACTGCGTTATTGATATTTTATGATACACCAATATTATATACAGTATAAAACCAACCCGCGAATATCAAGTTTCGGAATTGATCACAGATATATTGATAGTTTCAGCCAACTCCTGTGAATTAATCGGCAAGTGGAATAAACGTTTCACATGTATTTCCCAAAATGGTGAGAATATTTTTATTATATTTATAACACTAGAGAAAGTAAATAAGCTATGTATTTATTTTCATAAAATTAGATATGAAAAATTGATAATTTTTATCGAGAGTGTAAGTCTAACTGATCATTCTGCGCATTCGCAATGAACGGAAATTTGTCATGTACATCTAGTGACTAGGGAGAAATTATGCACCTTAAGATGACCTTCTGTTCAATTACTCACCCAAGAATTAAAGTTTATTAAAGTGTATATAAGTGTATACATTTTCTGTTTTATTTTACAGGAAGATTTAACACCAGATCAGTTGGAAGGTAATTTTAGATTTTCTTTTCACTACTGACAAAAATATTTTATGTTAAATAATTATATTTCCACATACAAAGTGTTTCTAAGAAAAGAAATATAAACGTAAAGTTTTATTAAGTTTTATACAAAAGTACATAGATCATGCAGTTAGAGCACATGAAACAGAAATATATGCAACGATTATTTAAAATACTGAAATGAATTGAAAATCGACTTTTGTAGTATTCTTAGCCCTTTCAATTTGGGGTCATTGTCTCAGCTTAGTGGGGTATTGGCGGTTTTCTTTTTTCTTTTCTTATATCTTTTCAAAAATGATATTTTTTTCTTCTAGAATTGCGCCAAGCATTTCGGATTTTCGACAAAGACGATGATGGGACGATTTCAACACAAGAACTTGGGACGGTTCTTCGTTCATTAGGGCAGAACCCGACAGAACATGACTTAGAACAGATCATAAAAGAAGTGGACGTAGATGGTAAGTTAACATGTCACGTGACTTTATCTTATTATACAAATGCTCATTGATTTATTCAAAACACTTACTGTGTCACTTTTATCACCATCACTGTGCACTCGAGATGTGTTATACATTTGGGTTTTCTTTTAATACTTCATATCAAAATTTACAAGACTAATAAGAATAATTGGTCATTTCAAAGAACATAAAACCATCTGTATTCAACATTGTTTTTTTTGAATTCGTTCTAGGAAATGGACTCATTGAGTTTGAGGAGTTTGTAACATTGATGTCAAAGAAATTCACAGAAGAGGCAACTGAAAATGACATAAGAGAAGCTTTCAAGGTAATTCTATATTAATGTTTTACCGTTGAAATAAAAATACATATTTTCAAAATATTCAAACTTTCATTTCTTTGTACAAAAATGGACCTGACGTGTCAGAAAGTAGCATAAATGATTTTTGTTCGTTTAAAATTGAAATTTATTTTCATGACAAAAAAAAACACGGTGAGCGCAGAATTTTTATTTGCAACAAAGACAATTAATGCTGTAAATTGTTCAAGGGTTCAAGGGATAAAGTCTCTGAGTAGCTTTATATGTTTGTGATTTGAACAGAATAATCAGTATCCTACTATAGTTTTAATTCCAATGCCTACAAAGAGATTGACAACATAACTTGTGATTGACTTTTAAATGACTATTATTCTTCTGTAAGCAAAACTTGATATTTCATTCAAAGTATTGATTTTTTTCACATGCTTGTTTTATAATTAAAAAAGTAAATATCAGCGTCATAGTATTATCTACAAATATATCGACTTGTTCTGAACCATACAGGTATTTGACCCAGATAATCTCGGCTATATTCTGTCGTCCGACCTCCGTCATATAATGACAACAAAGGGAGATAAGATGTCAGATGACGAGGTTGACGAAATGATAGAGGACGCTGATCTTGACGGAGATGGTCATATTGAATATGAAGGTAAATTAAAACTTACCCCTTTTTGTTCATCCGTTGCTGAATGATTCTCAATTATTTATTATCTGCGTATGGGCAAAGGACCTTTGCATTTCAAAGAAATATAATAATTAACGCTCATGTGTTGCTTTAAATTGAGAGTAAAATTTTGAAGAAAAAAAAAATCTCAGGAGAAATATTTGAAGATTCCTTAAAAACTGTACTGCGCGTAGACATCTTAGTTTTGGCATTTCTGTTTTGCTTTTGTTTTTTAATCTGAAATTAACAATAAACAGTTACTTATTCAATTCAAGCCAAATCGGTTAAGAAACCAACAAGGTGGCACCTTAGTGATAAAACAACAATTTCGACATGTTACATCACAATTTGGCCCGTAATAAAAATAATAAAATCATGTTCCTAAGGTTTAAATTGGCATACTTTTTATAAAGACATTTAGGAAAATTCATTTATGTAATCTTGTGTGAAACTATAATGCTTAGAGCATGGATATATGGCTCGTACCATCGTCTTGACACATTGAAGGTTCCATCATAACAACCGTATAAGCACATCTGCGGATGTTTCAAAATTCATAATCTTACGGTGTTAGGGGTCGTGGACGGTGATTGCGAATACCACTAATGTCCATGAACAGACTCAATCAAACATTTCAATTTTGCCGTGTTGGGCTTTCTTCGGTGATTGTTTTTCTCTATTATGTACACCGGTCAAAATCTCCAACTCTTGGGTCACTTAGTTTAAATATAAGTATGTAGTAAAATCACTTTTATTTTTTCCCCAAAAGCTACAATGCCCTGCGCATAGAAATTTAGGTTGTAGTGACACATTGTGGTTTTCTACAATTGTTAAATAAGTCAAAACCTTAGGTTCAAAATCAGTCATATACCTTACAAGTCATTTAGTTTATATATGTAGACTGTTATAGTAAAACACATTTAAATCATTTGTTGAAATCTTCAATGGGTTTTAATATTTGCATTGCATAAGCATTGTTTAGTGGGCTTCTACAAACGTTATATGTAAATCATGACCCTGGAGTCGAAAATGGTCTGCCACGGGGTCACATTTAAATTCTCTTATAGAAAACTTCATATAGAAAACTACAATGAGCACAATTAGGATATATAGCATGTACTATCACCTTGTAGTATTCTACAAAAGTGAAAGGACTGAAGTCCCTGGGCACAAAATATTTGGCATGTATCATATCCTAGCGGACATGCATAAAACCCAAACCTAATGCGATCTTATAACTTTTTTCTTAATTGAAAAAAAGCCTAACATTTGATCAAGGTGAGCGGTTTAGGGTCACTGGGAGCCTCTAATTTATGTTTTGTACATGTATCTAGAATTTATATAATTAAAATCATTGAGCAACTTTCATTTTTCAGAGTTTGTAAAGATGTTGGCTGAAAAGTAAACGAAAGTATCATACACAACTAACATTTGTGACAATTCAAACAAACCGGAATAAATCATCAAAGATACAGTGATTCATCGAAAGTGATATCTGCATACATTACCATAGATACAGTGATTCATCGAAAGTGATATCTGCATACATTACCATAGATACAGTGATTCATCGAAAGTGATATCTGCATACATTACCATAGATACAGTGATTCTTCAAAGTAACAAATCATACAGTTATTCATCGAAATGAACCAGTGAATACATTATTAAAAATAAAGTGATTTACTGAAATCAATCACTGTATACATCATCATAGATACAGTGATTTATCGAAAGTAATCACTGTATACTTCATCATAGAAACAGTGACTTACCGAAAGTAATCACTGTATACGTCATTATAAATATAGTGATATATCGAAAGTAATCACTGTATACATTATTATAGATATAGTGATTTATCAAAAGCAATCACTGTATACGTCATTATAGAAACAGTGATTTATCAAAAGCAATCACTGCATACGTCATTATAGATACAGTGATTTATCGAAAGTAATCACTGTATACATTATTATAGATATACAGTGATTTATCGAAAGTTATCACTGTATACATTATCATAGATACAGTGATTTATCAAAGCAATCACTGTATACGTCATTATAGATACAGTGATTTATCAAAAGCAATCACTGTATACGTCATTATAGATACAGTGATTTATCAAAAGCATTCACTGTATACGTCATTATAGATACAGTGATTTATCAAAAGCAATCACTGTATACATCAGTATAGATACAGTGATTTATCGAAAGCAATCACTGTATACATCATCATAATCAGGATCTGTCGGGCTAAAAGAAGAGATTCAGTCCAGTTTTCGTCTTCTGCAAGAAATGGTTCTAGAATATTCATAAAGAACAGTGTTCCTCTTCTACATTATGTTTCATTTTGTAAAAACATTCTTGAAGGACAAGCCTAGTATCATTAAGATATATCTTTTATTATAGACCAGTGTACCATTATCCAACTGTTGTAACAGATATAAATTATGTTAATGTAGTAATAACAAGATGTCTTAAACCAATATTTTGATGATATATACCTCATCTTTATTTATGTTTACCAATATTATGTTTACATTGAGCAATATTATGTTGATGAAGTTCACTTAAAATTATGTAGATGAAGACTCATTGCATATTTACATAGACCAATATAACATTGATTTAGACCAATATTGCATTGATGTAGACCAATACTAATTTACATTGATTTAGACCAATACTTCATTGATGCAGGCCAATATCATACTGATTTAGACCAATATTACATTGATATACACCGACATGACATTGATTTAGACCAATATTAAATTGATTTAGACCAATATTACATTGATATAGACCGACATGACATTGATTTAGACCAATATTAAATTGATTTAGACCAATATTACATTGATTTAGACCGACATGACATTGATATAGACCGACATGACATTGATATAGACCTACATTATATTGATTTAGACCAATATCATATTGATTTAGACCAATTTTTCATTGATATAAACCAATATTATGTTGATTTAGACTAACATGACACTGATTTAGACCAATATTACGTTTTACGTTAATTTAGACCAATATTACATTGATTTAGACCAATATTACATTGATTTAGACCAATATTACATTGATTTAGACCAATTTTATGTAGATATAGACCAATATAATTTACACATAGACCAGTAGTTATTTAGTGACTGTAGTAGTTGATTCGTATACAAGTTATATGGTATCAATAGCTAGCCTACATTATTTTCATCACACATCTTTATTATATTCATCATGCATTAGTCATTTTAAACAATAATAAAAAGATTTCATTTCATAATGGTTATTGTTGTTTTACGTTTATTTGTGATGTAAATGTTTTACCAAACGACAGCCAAGTACTCCGCCATGGTTGTCCAACGATGTCTTATAGTATTTTAATGTTGTTGACTTGTAGAGCAGAGCAGGACACTATATGAAGTTATTTTTATGTTTCAAATGCAATATTGTATTTCATGGTATGACCTATATTTATATAGACTGTGAAAACCCTTAAAAACCCTGATTTGACACCATTATTATCTCAAAGTAATGACAAGAAGTGTACCTAAAGTGGGGAATTACTTAATCATAGAGCAATTTTGTGATCAGGACTGTCTGTGTAACAGCAGTTCGGACCTGACCGGCGTAAGTTTATCGTTAGTTCACCTGATTTTGATGAAACACATTGGTAATAACACAATTTATGTTGAGCGTTGAAACCTTCAACTGGACAATGACAAAAAACTGCAAAAGGTCAAGAAATTCACATATATATATACTTATTTTTTATTTTTCTTCTAAAGGAAAATTTCTCGCATTTCTAAAGGTGATGAAAAGGGTTAAATTTGATAGCCATGGTCAAAACATGAAAATCATATCCGACTACAATAAACGCTAAAGCATCTTTTATTGCCAAGAATTACAACCTGCAAAATTGGTTTTGTGTGCGTTATTCCTGGTCTTTGGTGAGAATTTTGACAATGTCGGAGCGTAGACTTTATAACTGTGAGGTTTTATAAAGATTATGCAAAGGAGATGTATTTGAACGCCATAATTGTAGCCTAGATATCTACGAATGATTTAGATATTTCAATTTTTAAGTAAAATTGCATTATTTTCGGAACATACCGTTGAATAGGATGTTTCATTTTTTATAAAAGACTTAGTTAAAGGGAGAGAAATGTTAACATCGAATCACTTATTGATTTAGAAGAGTTGTTAAATTACTTCAAATGTTGAACAAAGTTACAAATAGTTCTAATTTTACTCGTAACGAAAGAGCATTTCTTTTGGCATTCACTGTCTTTTACTTTGTATTCATTTCTTAATTTTCCTGAAATATAAGTGAAAAAATATCTGGAATATTTCTTATATTAAAGTACACCAATTTTATAAAATAACATTTGTTTTCATTTAAGATAATGGGCTAATTGTGTGTCGGGAAAATGCGATTTTCTAAGGGTTTTATTACTTTCTTTATCAGACTTAATTATTTATAAACAGGAAAAAGTTCAATCATGCGGGACCTTTTGAAATGTTATTGAAATTTAAAAAATGCTTTTTTTTATATCGCATGATATCGAAAGATTTTTACAGACGTGACTAAGTTTCCCGCTCTTGCTTTATATTGTTAGTATTAATATACAAAACCGTTATACCCGTGAATTTCGTGTAAACGTATTTTCGCTTGGGAGAATTTTAACAAATAGACTCGAAGCCGAAGAAAAAACTACGTAAATATTTTAACGACTGTGTAAACCTAAAGTGAACAAAATGAACATAAATATTCTTGTAATGTTTGCTGTGATGATACATAGATCTATGCAGCTAGACTATGGTATGTACATGTACCATTTATATTTCTAATTCATAATGTTTATCTCTCATATGTATCTGTCGTATTTATCTGTCGGATGTATATTATGTATGTATCTTTGTGTATGTATGTTGTCGTCGTCTAAAGTAACCAGACATTGGTTAGCCGCTTTAATCAACCAAACAATTGGTTTGTCGCCCAAAGCAACCAGACCATTTGGCTCTTCACTTAAAACAACAGGCCATTGGCTCGTTGCCTAAAGCAACCAAACTATTTGCTTGTCGCTTTTAAAGCAACCAGACTATTGGCTCGTCGCCTAAAGCAACCAAATCATTGACTCGTCGCCTAAAGCAACCAAACCATTGCCTCGTCGCCTAAATCAACCAAACCATTGTCTCTTTATTTTCAGCAACCAGGCCAAGGTAACCAGACTATCACCAGATCACTTCAGGTCTACTTTGTAAATGTGTCTTAGCGTGAAAATTGGGTGTATGACCTTATATTACACATAATAAATGTTGTGTGTCATATTAGCTCATTTCTCAGATTAAACAGTATTAAAGACCTGGTATGTCTCAAAAATTGTTTAATTTTATTTTCTCTAAAGCTTTTTATTGTCCTGATATACATGACGTTTCCAAAAAGATAAAAAAATAATAAAGATGCTTTGTTCTGTAAAAACGTGATGAAACGAGTTTGCCAACTTTGTCGAATGTCCATTAATATTTCAGATATACATGTATACAATTGCAAATATGTTTTTTTTTTATTCACAGAGTGCGATTTCCATGGGTCAATAGACATAACAAACCCCGACAAGACGAAATTTAAAACTTTTGACCTAAGAAAGGGAGATGACAACGCCGATTGCCGTGGAGACTTTACCGAAGATTATTCACACGTTCTTTTGAGAAACTGCACTGTAGTAAGTCCTTATTTAGAAAATGTAATAGATACTCCCACCTGCCTCCTGCCTTCACCAGACAAATATGAGCCGCGCAATGACAAAACGAACGTGATGCGTTTGCGTTTGCGACCAGCATGGATCCAGACCAGCCTGCGCATCCGCACAATACTCCTGGGAAATATCCAAGTTTTATTTGATAAACATTTAAATGAGCCTTGTCACGACAAAACCAACATAATGGGTTTGCGACCAGCGTGGATCCAGACCAGCCTGCGCATCCGCGCAGTCTGATCAGAATCCATGATGTTCGCTATCAGTTTCACTACTTGTTTTAGGGATTGTAAGCGAACAGCAAGAATCCTATCAGAGTGTGCGGATGCGCAGGCTGGTCTGGATCCATGCTGGTCGCAAACGCATTACGTGGGTTTTGTCATGACGCGGCTCAATTATTTACATGTAGTTTGATATCAACGAACTTTGTGTAGACCATCAGTTTCAACCTCTAAAGAAAAAATAAAATGCTATAAAACATGTACTCGATTACAATTTATTTGTTGACGAAACAAATTGATGTATCATTTCCATCACGATTGTTCAAAACCCCAAAAATAGTTTTGATATTTTGCAAATAGAAATTGAAGTATAAAACTATTTACATCATATGCAAGAATATACTGTTGGACACAGGTTTTAACAAACGAGATTAGTATGTTACACGAACTGACCATTTTTGTCAATAACGTATAATCTTGTGAATATAATTACATGTTAATTCATTGATAATTATTGAAAACATGACGGATTAATTTACACGTGTTCACATTCGAGGAAAAATGAATACAGACTTGGATTATGCTTAAGATTATCTGCTAGGCTATATTTAAGAAATAAAACATGGCCTTTCGGGCAATATGCAAGTTTACGGACTGGTTGGTCAGACTGAGGAAGGTATATGGCCCGACGCGCAGCTAAGGGCCATATACCTTCCGAAGTATGACCAACTAGTCCGTAAAGTTGCATTTTGCCCGAAAGGCCATGTTTTATTTGTTATCTTATACAGAATATAAATCCTTTCATCCCCTTGTTTTGTGCTGTCATTTTTACTATTATTTGCATCCAAATAATAATTTTACTTGTTCAGTGTGTGAAAAATCTCAAACCCTAGACGGATTTTGTTTTATTATTTTCAAGCAATGCAGCAAAAATCATGCTCTTCTTTTAAATAATATTCCGATTACCGATTACCGATGATCTAGGAGTTGTAATTCTATTTTTGTTAATCAAATTCAATATTAATTTAATGTTACTCGGCAAAAAAAAAAACCCGAACTTTAAGAATTTCACAAACAGTATAAAATTTTAAAAATTAAACAAAAATCATGACTTTTGATCAACATGTAATACATTTATGTCTATGATAAAGAGACAAATCGCCTAGCCATTTTGACAGTTATCGTCTGTTTGTGTCGTCGTGAAATTCGCACGTCGTGAAAGCTACGTTTAAAAGGTCTTCATTCCCTGCGGTCTGGAGACCGCAGGGTATTGGTACGCGTTTAACGTTTGAGGCATGGAGGAGCACGTAACCTGTTTTCGGTACATGGAGGAGCATGTGATCTGTAAACCGTACATGATTGGTTAAATGACCTTTTCCAACACCTGGCTAAATACCGTTTGCCGGTATGTTACGGATTTACCTAGGGAATAAGAATTAAAAACAAAAAAACTATTACGTGATATTTTTAATTTTCTATAATTATGTTACCGTTTAAGGTGAAAAAACTTGAATGATGAGTTTGAAAATTATCAATGTTTCTTTAATATGTATCTCAAAATGTTAAAAACAATAAATTGTTTATACTGAAAATCTACAAAATTAAAATATTCGTTGTGGCATCTGCCATAATAAATAGAGATATTTTCTGCGTAAACTTATGTGTTTACTTTATTTATTTCTTTTTGCTCGGAAATATTCATAAAATGGTAGGCCTATTTAATCATTTTCTTAAAAAGAAATAATTGTTTTATGTTCAACCTTCTCCGGTCATCAACGGTCACCTGTTTCCAAAGACCTTCTTCTATATTGATCGATTATTGTCAACTATATTCCTGATACAAACGTTTATTTATCCCCCAAACAATGTTGAAAATAGTTAAATGAAATATCTTTATATCATTAAAAATGATCCCCGCAGGAAACCATTTTACTTGTAAGAATTATGGACCGCCCCCGGTCTGTATGCGGTTTATGGACCGGGTGACGTCACATTGAATATAGAAGACCGTATGCATATGAGGTATAATATTTCAATTAAATGCAGTGTTGTTTTTATATTTACAGGGAAAGCATTTAACTATCCTCTTCCTGACTAGAAGAGTTGGTATCCTAATGCTTGGGAATTTTGCTGGTCCCTTCACCGTTCAATGTCATGACATACCAACCAATGATGTGTTAGCTGTTATTGTCTCAAATTATCTTACAGGGTACGGTAAAAATGCAGTTTATATAGGTGTACCTTTTGTCGTTGTCATCTATAAGTCAAATTTAATCTAAATCACAGGGGGCCCACACAGTGTTTGGATGGTATATACTGCTTGATAGTGACTTTAAAATGAGATTTTAGTCATAACCTTATAATATGTATATAAATATAGACTTATATACATATTATAAGGTTATGACTAAAAACTCATTTTAAGGTCACTATCAAGCAGTATATACCATCCAAACACTGTGTGGACCCCCTGTGATCTTGAATCATTATATGATTTCTGTATCTTCGAGTATAGTAAATACAGATGCATTTAAATTTTGTTTGTACACTTTCAACTACCATTTTGTATTAAATATATCAGTTAAGATATAATTAACTTTGCAAGGGAAATAATTATTGACCTTTTTATGCAAACATGTGTTGGTGTATCATCAACTTGTGATCTATTATATTGCTTTCTTCAGGGATAACATTCAAATACTAAATGGTTCGACGATAGTCACGAAAATGAGACATATATCACAAACTTCCGTTTATTCAAATGATTTAACTTTCCAGTGGGTTCTTAACACAACAGGTAAGTCCAAAACCAATTACTTTTCCAAAAAGGCAATTACCTGATTTATCGTTTGCTTCGTTAGCTTCATGGCAAGTAGTACAGCTATAGTGTGTGAGTATTTTGTATGGAAGCTAAAATATCTCTTTGTTTACATAATATACTTTTTTGGATAAATAATTTCACAGTCCGCGGTATTTTTCTTAGGTGATAAGTATCTAACATGCTCTTAAACCATTTTATTTTCTACACGTTATAAAGTTTGTCTTTTTAAAGAAGGGAAAATAAATTTTTTTTCTGAGATATAATGTGCCTTACAGACAGTAAAGGTGATATTTCAAAGGTCATTGGCTCTACTGGCTCAGACGTTATTAGTGACAACGCAACTGACAAAAATTCCTTATGACTGATATATTCATTCTTATTCTATATGTTAGAGGGGTGTTTATTTTTATTTGAATGGGTCTTTTATGTAATAGGTATGTTCATTATACATATTGTTAAAGTATATATATCAGAAGAAAAACAATCAAGTTCGTTTTTAATTCTTTTTTAAAGAAAGTGTACGGTGTATGAAAGAAATGTGTACTGTCAAAGAAAATAATGATGATGGCTTCATGTATATACGCCTTAAATCATTTAATAAACTGTGATTATTTTAAAAAAAATGGTTGAAAAATATAATTTGTTTTTCATACTTCAATAAAGTAAATGAACATTGATAAACTATAGCATTACAAAAAAATGTATGAGATCAAAAAGAAATTGAAAACTCCGTGCCCATCTTTTTACCTCGGCGTTAGTGTGTTACTCAATGTTTATATAAAAATTGTCAAATGTGAAATTGTGCAAATATATATACATGTAAATATAAATAGAATGTCTCCGACAGAGACTATGCATGTAAGCAATGTTAAATGCAGATACACTGCCATCTGTCGGCATGATAAGATGGCAGAAAATTCCATTATTGGTTGAAAATATGTATTAAGTATTACCATCCTAATGCATTACCTCCGCTTTGAAGAGTATTCAAATAGGCTAGAAATTGAAAATGAGGGCCGTGGGTTCAATCCCCAAAAGGGTCAATATTTTTTCTTTCTTTTTTCTTTTAACGTTATTTATGTATCTCTCATGTCCCATTTGGAATGAAAAAAGTGTTAAATTTTGATTGTTTAATTCATATAGGTATTTATTGGCTAAATTATGCTAATTCTTGTTATAAATATGGTACCTGATATTTTCAAAGTGTAATAAAGTCAAAACTAGACGGTAAAAGTATTTCATATTTTACAAGATCAACTAATATACTTCTTTAAAAATTTAGGAAAACTTTGAAAACAGGCACTCATTCGGGTAAATTTTAAAGATTTTTAAATTAGGCTTCCTAAGTAGGAAAATGGTCAGACACGTCGTGGTAAAAAATGGTTGGGGAAGTGTATCATTTTATACAGATTTCATAAATTTTAAGTAAAAACCATAATTTTGCTAATGTGGATTGTTAGCTGAATGATACTTTTTGTTTTTACCAAAAATTAATGGGAAAACATTTTTTATGAGAATGTTATTGCAGATTATTTAAAGGTTCCTCATTTCTCAAAACATCCTAGCTTGAGTTCAGATAAGTGGCCATAACTTGATTTCCGTACAGTAAACTTTGTTTAAATTTTGCACACACGTGTACTTAAAGGTATATATCTGACTATGATGTCATTTTTTTAGTTCCTTATAGTGCCCATTAGGGTATATAGCTATTACCAATGACAAACATTTATGAAGAATTCCAGTTGTCATGTTTGGTAGAAAGTTCTCTTTGGGTGGAGTTTGGGGTTATTTTGCATAAAAGTCATGATGATGCATAAGATAGATTTTTACACTTTTGCTTTATTGACCAATATAGTTCATATAATATTTGGTAGGAACATACCGGTTTTGACTGATTTGGGATGAGATCAAAAGCAAAATCAGTGATTTTAACTCGCCTTAAACTTTATGACTGGTTGTTTTACAGTTTTAGTACAATTGCTTGAGCAGCAAGATAATGGAGACGGAAGTGCGATATCTCCTACCGGTGATGATACATCAAACGTTACTTCGGCGACTACAAATTCAACTACAAATGAACAAACTCCAACAATCCTTGAAATAATGTCTTCTGACGAAGCATCTCCAATTGTTTCAACGTCAACGAAATCACCTACAGATAACAAGGCATCTGATACAAGTACAACTGTCGTATAACTTTCTTTTATTGACGAATCATCAACTGTTAAATAATCTAATATTTAATGAGAATATTGGAGTTATTGAATAAAACAAAGTTATACATGATACTTGTTATCGAATGTTACACACTGCAATTTATAGGTCATTATTAAGTATGAAATATTATTTATAAATAAAAAATATATGTCAATATTTCACGCACTGTTACATCTGCAGGTTGAAAAATGACCAAATCTTTATATGATCATATATAAATATGAGCCGCGTCACGACAAAACAAACATAGTGCTTTTGCGACCAGCATGGATCCAGACCAGCCTGCGCATCCGCGCAGTCTTATAAGGATCCATGATGTTCGCTATCAGTTTCTCTGCTTGTAATAGTAAGTAAGTTGGTAAGCTAACAGCATGGCTCCTGATCAGACTGCACGGATGCGTGGTCGCAAAGCCATTATATTGGTTTTGTCGTGATGCGGCTCATGATCTATATCCATAGCGACGAAAAACACATAATTAAAGCTTTAAATGCAAGGTATGTTATGACAAAATACTTCTCTGTTTTCTTTACTTTCTCTACTTTTTATTTTGTATACGTTTCTTATCTACAAACAACAAAACACTTTCACTGAAATAAAATCAATCTTTCAGTAAAATTGAAAACCGTCTTGTTACTTCGCTTCCTTACCAAAATAAAAACGTTACATTCATAATAAAAAGTACATTATGTATCGACTGAAATTACGATACCAAAAAGTGTCTCTATTGTGAAATATTGTCGATTAAATTGTACACAAAAATAAAATGTTAACATTGTAATTATTAATAAATGTACTAATTAAGAAGGTGTATATAAGGATAGTCACAGTTACTTGACTAAGTAACAATACTATCAGGTTTACACGGCAAAGTCCCAAGTTATATGTAATGATATTTAAAATCGTTCCACACAAAGAACAAAATCTGACTGATGATGAAAGTGCTTATAGTTTAATAAGCATAAAATGTCAACGTCATGTTAATGCGCGTGACAATTAGATATATGATTTTAATACCGATACATGTGCATAGTACTTCAAATTGTGATTTCGTTTATCAAAGTTTATAGAAATTTATAATACGGCAATTCCAGAAAAAAAATATATACCTTTTAAAAGTTTCTCTTTTGAGGACAGAAGAACCTATTTGTCACATTAACGAGTATCAGTGTTTGACAAAAAATAGACTGAAAAAAATACCTTAAGCTTTACAACACTCGCGTTAAAGAAAAAGCCTTTCCGTAGCATACATAATTGTTTTTTTTTTATTTTAACTCTTTCTCTCACTGAGAGCACACATATTTCTTACCACCCAGCAAACACATGACGTTAAAATAACGTCGGATTAATGTTAGATTTTGGTCACGACGTCGGCGACCAAAATACGACGTAAATCTGACGTTAAAATACCGATGTCTAATAGACGTTTCTTTTTGACGTCGTACTAACGTCAGGTTCTGGTCGATGTCCTGACGGTAGGAAAAAAAAATAATCCTTATTCGCTGTTGTAATCATTTAAATTTTTTTTCATATGTTATTTGGATTACGAATGACGTGTTCTTATATAAATACAGACCAAGATCGCGGCGCTGCAACCTAATAAAACATATAGGTGGCGCTGTATATAGGCAAGTTACATGTGTTATTGTTATGAAATCTATTTATAGCCACAGATCTGTTTACAAGTTCCAATCATTTAACGTTGTAATATTATCATTTGTGGTACATTATATGTATCAAAATTACGAGTTTTTAATAGTGCTTTAACATTTAATCATAGTGACAGAAAAGGGAAAGAAAACATAATTAACCTATAATTCGAATCTAAAGTCACGTGGATGGAAATTCAAATTCGTAGGCGTTACGTTTTGGCTGTCGGTCAGGAATCGGGATGCATTGATTAGTGAATATTATAGATTTTCTTGAACAAAAAGGTCAGTTCAATTTATTTAGATTTATTTCTACTTTGTATTTGATAAATAATTGCATGATTGCAAGCACTCTTAAATTTAATTATCATTATTTGAACAGCTGAAGTAAAATGTCACACAAATTCGCGATAATGTCTAATAACAAATCTTTTTCAAATTGACAAATAACCCAATACGTTTTGGTTCCAGACATTTCGGCATTAAATTTTTAATTCAAAACTGTGAAATATTTAAGACTTGCG